TATGTGGTAAATTTCTTATCTCCTTTTTTCTTCTCTTTTCACTGACTGTTTTCTTTCATTGCTTGATTGTACAAGCTCTGACTCATTTCTTTGCAGTCTGGTTTCTGGTCTTTAATAATAAAACCATAAAGTTTTCTCAGTCAAGGCGATATTACAGCTATAACGAGAAAGCTTGCAAGCTCCGAAGTCTGAAAATAAAAAAAATTAAAAAAAAAATTACAGACAACACTTTGAAGCTTTGGAAGAATACAGGTTCAAGTATGCATGGATTACCTGTGATCAAATCAGCTAACTTTTTTTTCACTCACCATCAGGTGATGAGAGTAACACCATTGGAATCCTGATGGAAAGTTCACTCCATCCACCCTCCATGCCATGGCCTTTCCATGGCAGAGCTTCCCCCCAGGGGGCCTGGTCAGGTCCCATCGGTGCCACTGGCCAGTATGTCACAACCTGTACATCTGGCTCTATTCCTCCAAACATTCCAACTGCAGTTTTTTTTTTTGGATTTTCTGAATTCTGAGCCCGCAAGCCTTTTTGTTATAGCTGTAAGAGTGGTGAGAGTGAAGAATGAAGGAGAAGAGAGATGAGATATAGAGAATAGAAGAGGGTAAGATGCGGAGTCAAAGAGGAAGGGAAAAGCAGGAGGATTTTACTTTAGTTGTTTGAGGAATGTTGATGGAATTCAAAGGGCGAGTGATGTGTTGTAGGCTTGAGAAAGTCAAGTTGGCTGCCAAGGAGAAGACCAGCAAGCAACAGTGTGAGAGAGCTTTGGTTTTTATTCTGTTGGGATTTTCATTTGAGTTGTGGGTGAGCTAGATGGAAGAGAGCGGAGCAGAGCAGAGAAAATGGGAGAAAGAGAGTGAAATTCCAACACTATTTATCACCTACCACTGCAGCAATAGAGAGAAGGTGAGCACATGGGTTGAGAATATGAAAATTGAAAGAAAGGAATCGTAAAAAGAGGGACAAATGAAGGACTTCCCATTGCCCTAATTTTTTAATTTAGAAGGACATCCTGAACATCATTTGCTTGTGATAATCAATCCGGGTCAATTTCTCACTGACACCAGCCAATAGGGTTTAGGACCCCTTGTTCAATCAAACAATTGTGACAACCAGAAGTCCTTCAACACACATTAAGTTAATAGAAATATGGTTGCCTCAGTGCTCTATGTGGATTCCTGTGCTCTTTTTATGTTTATCTCTCTGTTTGTGCTCCTACCAACGGTGCAACGAGTCCTATACGTGTATTGTATAGGCATATACAGTGTATTGCACTTTGTCAGGAGTACATGTATTGCCGCTGCTAGCGAATACAATACAAATACATTGTATTCATTTTCTAGCCTATACAATACAAATACAGTTTTGGATGTATTCCCTTTAAAACCCCTTTTTTTTTCTCTTTTTTTTCACTTTTTTCACTTTTTTTTCACTTTTTTTCAATTTTTTTCACTTTTTTTTTCACTTTTTTTTCACCTTTTTTTCCCTTTTTTTTCTCTTTTTTTTCTCTATTTTTTTTGGGCCTTAATAAAAAAAATGTGGTTTTTCCGCGTTTTGACGCAGTTTTGGCTGCGCACAGCACACGCGGATTCCGCATTTGCACGCGGTTTTTTATTTAATTTTTTACCGCTTATTTTTCGAGTTTTTTTGAATTTTTAAAATTGTTTCCTATGTTTTAAAGCGTGCAGAATTTAATGGTAAAAACCATTTGTCATAAAAATGACTTAAAAAAACGGTGTCAAATGCAGTATATAAGATGTAGTTTTCATTTTGATGCAAAATGATTGTTACCATCATTTTTTGCATGTATTAAAGTGTAGGAAAAAAATTTAAAATGTCAAAAAAGAATGAAAATTAACCTGTAGAAATTTAAGTGAAAACATGTGTCTAATTTCAGTATTGAAAATTAACCGTTGAGTTTTAAACAATTTGGATTACACCATTAAATTCTACGCACAGTGAAACCTAGGAAATAAATTTAAAATTTCCAAAAAACATAAAAAATAAGGTACATACATGCATGCAAACAAATAATTGAAAAATGAGTGGAAAAAAAAAATAATAATCAAAAGTCATTTTTATGACAAATGGTTTTTACCATTAAATTCTAAACGCTTTAAAACATAGGAAACAATTTTAAAAATTCAAAAAAACTTGAAAAATAAGCGGTAAAAAATTAAATAAAAAACCGCGTGTGCTGCGCGCAGCCAAAACCGCGTCAAAACGCGGAAAAACCGTGTTTTTTTATTAAGGCCCAAAATAAAAGTTGAAAAAAGTAAAAAAAAAGTGAAAAAAAAGTGAAAAAAAAGTGAAAAAAAAGTGAAAAAAAGTGAATAAAAAGTGAAAAAAAGTGAATAAAAAGTGAATAAAAAGTGAAAAAAAAGTGAATAAAAAGTGAATAAAAAAGTGAAAAAAAGTGAAAAAAGAGAAAAAAAGAGAAAAAAAGGGGTTTTAAATCTGTAATGAAGTTGAAGCTGGGATCTGCAGATACAAAATACATGGGATGTATTGTAGCTGACTCTGCAATACATTTATTTGTATTGTACTCAGAGTGCAATACATAAATAAAAAATACATCCGTATTGCAGCTGCCTTCAGCTGCAATACAAATACATGTATTGCCTATACGTTTTGGTGCAATACACACCCACTAGAAATACATGTATTGGACTCGTTGCACCGTTGCTCCTACCAATAAGCCAACCCCTTTATGGACATTTCATCATACTTTTCTAGTTTTATATTGAAATCAATATCACTTGTATGTGCAGGCCTGATTTGTATAATCCAAGTTGGAAATGTAATTGGGCTTCAGTACAATGGCATGCATGATTATTAAGAGTAGATTCCAACCCACTTCACATAGCCCAATCATTGACTGACAACTGCTCAAAATCAATTTTAAATATTGTTTTTGTGTATTACCCATGTCATGACTAGTCAAATAAGTACTGAGTAATTGTGTATTTTTTCCACTGGCAGTTACCAAAAATTTCCCATCAATAGATATTACCATTTCTCTTTGAAGCTTCAAATTTAATCTGCTCTTAATTTTGAAAAATGTGTGGTATTGCACAATGGTAATATATCCATCCATTTCCTTTTTCAACCAGGCTCATGATCCAGCCTTTCTGAATGTGAGATTTTAAATTCACAGTGCACATAAGATTAGAAACCTGGAAAACCTGCTTTCATTTCACTTGAGGTCTTGGTTGAGTGTGATCATCCATACTAAAATTACAAGGCATTTTTTCTTTGTTGGTAATCCACTTGCATATTTTGGGCCAAATTCCCATGAATATACACATGATCATGCAAAGTTTGTTCCTACTAGTATTTAGACAAGGGGGCTTATACTTAGACATTTTAATACTTTGGTTTAACATTAGATTCACTGGAAGTTTTACCTATCATGCCAGGAAAAAATTGAGAGAAGGGCTCTTCCCTCCAAAATAAAGCACAGTAACTTGAAGGTGACTGCATAGTAACTTAACTTCAACCCATGTAACCTATCTAGATAATTTTATCTTTCATCAAAAAATGGTAAATATGTAAATTGTCCAGAATATCACTCAAAGCACAACTTGAGGTTAAAGAAATCACAACTTGAGCAAATATGAGCTTATCTACATATTTTTCTTTCTCATTGAAAGATTGACGTGTTTTATTCAGTATGCAGTTTCACCATTCTTTTCACAAAGTCGCCAGTTACAAACTATCATCATGGTGGCGAGCACGGAAGCTTGTACATTAGGCAGAATTTAATTGCGACGGGGCAAGGAAACAATTTCAATGGGACTTTTCAAGAAGATATCTAGATACTCGGATGATTTTCAGGCTACTATCTGGTTCAAGAAGTGCTGTCAATCTGGCGATGGAGCGATTGACATCAGTTGTCTTCCTTGGTAGAAACTTCCGCACTGACCGATGTCGCAAACGCCTTCCCAAAGACTCTCCCACTTCGTACTGCAATTTTGGTTTTGATCTTAGCGCGGTTGTTGATTTTCGGGGACGACATGAAAGCGACGAAGGGCGGTTGCTGTTTTGTAGCGTTAGGCTCGATGGTCCCCTGAGAATCGCGTGGGCTTGAGCAAGTTGGGTTCTTATCGACCACCCGGCTTGCGCGATGTCTACGCAACCATCAATAAGATCATTGAAAGGTTGCTCGAGTTGGGAATGATTCGAATTTGAAAAGTCGCCATTGGATACATCATCGCGAGTGGAATCGGCCAAGCTAGCCAGAAGGAAGTTATCTGTCCAATAGACGAATGACTCAAGCTGAGAGCCGACTCGTTTAAGATTTCTTGAGAGTTGAAGAGTAAGCTTTCGGGCTTGAGCATTTCCCCACATCGACCTGTGTTCCCAAAGGAGGTTTTAGCATCAGTTCGCGCTGGCCAGACAAGAAGAAGAGATGCGACGTACCTCTTGAAGCATAGTGTTCCGCGTGCAGAATTAACCGAAACCAAGTCCGTATGTTTGTGATTATCTTCTAGCAAAAGCATTCGATTGAGTATTCCCCTATCTATCTGTTCAATAATGCGTGAAAACCTTCGAATGGTCTCAGATACTGCATCACTGGGTTGCACTGGAATTAAGTATTTATCTACATCTTGACTACAAAGCTCAGCGGTTCCAGTCGTAGGCGAACATTGTTGAGAATTGATTACTACGCGCATGTTGATTAGAGTACAAGAGATAGAGCGAATGAGGCAATGTAGGGAAGCTTCTAGGGGGAGGGAGCAGTCTGATTTGAGAACCTCAAAGGTATCATAGTAAAGTGGCGGGACACTCATGGCTGAAGGGTACGAGGTGAGTTGATAACAGTGCAGCTAGCGAAGCAAATGAAAAATTTTGATTTTGAAAATTGGGGGGATAAGGGGCCAAGGGAGAGCGGAGTAGCAGAGAAGCAGCGGTATACATATATGTCTATATCCACGCCAGACAAACTGCAAAGCAATCAGCACCAGATAGCCCATTCAGCCTGAGTATTGCCCCTGTTTCGTGCTAGTCACCAGCTGATCAAAACATGAACAAACTTGTATTAAGATTCAACAACCTGATCGAAACGCAAAACGCGCAACTCGGCGCGGGCAAAAGGAATGCCTTCCGACATCCCCAGCAGGACGAGGCATGTAGCCAGGGTGGTAACACTGTATTGAAATTCAACTTGCAAAATGAATTGAGAGTCCGAAAGACCTTCTACATGATGTAGGATACCGACCGCTTGGAGTTGGCCGGAAAGAACCCCACAGATGATCGATAATCGAACACGAATGGTGTGGCGATCAACAACCCAGCCCAAGTTGCCCCCAGCCGCCTGTACAAGCAAACACCGCACAAACCATGCAGAATCAGCCCTCGTATCAACCGATCGGAAAAGTCGCCCCGGGCAGTTAAAAGCTGGAAAAGTGCATCACCTCGGATAAACACTTGATTAATTTCCTGCGCGCTTGTAAGGCAGGGGCTGGCTTCCTCTCCGTCCCGGGTACCGGACTCAAATTTTCCGTTCACTTTTTTCATCTTTCCAGGGTGTACACTGGATAGTGATCACGATGTAGAAGATGGCGTGTAAGATAGCCCTAACATCCTTTGTACACATAACTCCTAAAGATCTGATGCATCGCTTGTTAGGCCATTCAAGAAAGCCTTGCCACCTGCGTTGCCTGATGGAACGGCCAGTGGATGAGGTTGCTTTCTTCTAGCCTAGTCTGTCGAGATCTCAGAGGGTGGTTCAAGCGTTTTTCAACATGGTTATGGTAAACATAAGTATGTATGTACTTCCAAAAATCGAAGTATGTATGACTTTTGGAGTTCTTCCAAACATCTGGGCGTAACGTAAGGTAAACATGCGCCGCGTAATGAGAGTTGATAGGGGCGTGCAAATTCTGCACATTAGCTTTTTTGGAAGGAGAAGCTGCACAGGTTCTCAGAATTTCGTATTCATTCTTAGATGTGCTTTTGTTGTGCTCAAGCTTTGGATCGCCTAGTCTCCCCACATCGCCCAATGAACCAGCGCCCAACCTGACAGAGATAATACAATTGCGCCGAGCAGTTTATCGCATATCTTCCCGCCTGAGGCTATCGTCAACTTATTTACTTCCTTTGTTTGTCGGGGTCGCGATTGTTTGGTGTTCTTTCAGCACACAAAGGCGGTTTCTCATCACGATGCACAACCAATCCTAGAAGCTCGTTATGCAGCCAAGTCTAAAAAATGTGTGCATAAAGCTTTTAATGGCTTTGTTTATTTGAGCTTGGATCCAATCCTTAAGCGACGCGACTAGTCAATTAATCTCAACCCATGTGACCGGCCACTTGGACCCAACTTGCCAATAATGCCATCGTCGACGGAAAACACTTCCAAAAACTTTCTTTTTGTTTGCTGTGATTTAGAAAAATGTTAAATCCCGCGCAACTTTCTCAATCAAGATGTAGTGTCTATGTTGGAATGTTCACGCATTGTTAATCACTTACTGACTGATGGCTCTGCTGTGCAAGAAGCACTCAACTTCCCCTGAGAATCAGATAGGAGAATGACAATATTTAGTAAAACGTTGCACTAAATGAAATAGCATACATATATATGTATCCTAATACGAAGTACTAAAAACCCCCCATATATGCTAAAGGGGACATGGAAAGAGATGCATAGCGCTCAGCCTACACTACTCAACAATCCAGACTAAGTAGGCTTGAATAATGACGACGGAAGCCCTCAAGGAGCTGGCTCAAAGCCTTGTGAATGAATTGTTGACACCGGGAAGAGTCTATCATCGAATGAGTACATACGGCCTGCCTCTTACGAGTCTCTAATGGTGCCTGAAATGCAGAACCCGGGCTCGAAGGACACTCGACCGAGGAAATAAAGGATGATTTTTGTACATGATGACTGGTTCAGGCTGTTACAAGAGCGAGCGGAGCTAGTGTAAATGAATACATACATTTGCTCGACTTAACTCCCTCCATAGGAGAAGCACCCTTGAAGCTTGAGTTGGTTCATTTAATCCAGTCTTTTTCCTCAACGCGATGTCCAAAATGTGTTATTCATCCGACTCACCGAGGCAGGCTACTTAAAATCTACCTCAGATCAGGCTATATTCCGGCTGAAGCCGATGATTCACCGCAAAAATATTTAATTTCTCGAGTGATCAACTGTTCTGTCAATGATTATGCAGCCCATTATTTTCGTACATGATTGAATATACGGCAGATCAAAAACAATTACTGGAAACTGAGAAAAGACTCGCTAACACTGACTCCACACTCGCTAGCGTCCGCTGCATCATGTATGTTACATCTGGTTGGAACGCTAAATTTGGGCCTGGGCCTTGTTGCAGGGGAGGTTATAGTGTAATTCAAATTTGGGAATATAGGCCTTTCGATGAATCTGTCTTATTTTACCTCAAGTTATCTTTGGTGGCTAATACAGCAAAGATAAGAAAGTAAGATTGGTTCATATTTAAGTATCAGATGAAAATAGATGTCAAAATCAAAGTGGAAACTTGATAATTAACTCAACGTGAAAGCTGGCAGGATTTATACACTGATTCCACTGGCCAACTAATTTTTTATATGAAAGTGATATGTTCAATTATAAATCTGCAATAGATTTTCCAAGGAATACATAAGCAAGACTTGCTCAGCTGCCACCAAGTGACATGGCAGGTGGTCTCAAATATCTTCTGTTCTGACTTGTAATTCAATATGATTATAAAATACATCCTTTTCAAAGTCACTGTGCAATGATAATATTGAATGCACATGCATGAAATAGATTTTGTTGAATTTTAGAGCAAATGCACAAGAGAAAAGAATAAGTTTGAGAGGAGGGCAAGGAAAGACTTTTTTTTTGGGAGAGGCTCACGGAAAAAGAGTGAAAGAACCAATAGTTTATTTTATTCACTGGAATCTATTCAAGATTAAATAGACTAAATACAAGTGGTGAAAAAGTGGTTGTAAGAAATGAATAATAAAGCCATATTGAATGAAGAACTGAGAGGAATAAGCATGAGTCTTTGGAAGACACAAACCAGACAACGCTTCTCAATCTCTTTTAGTCAATCCAGATGAGTTAATCAAGAAAAACATTTTATAACCCACTGATGTTTAGTTGTTAATTCTAAGTAAGCAGAATTTAATAACTTCAAACAGTAAATCAGGAAAGAGAAGAATTCACCGTAGAGACATGAGTAGTTGAGATGAGCTATTTACTTAGGGTTCACATTTGACTCAAAAGAAAGCTTCTAGCAACCAAAAACTGGTTACTTGGAGGATATAATATATTCTGACTTATGATGACAAGAAAAATAAGAAAGGGCAGAGAGAGAAGGATTGAAGAAATTTTGAATGATTTAAAATAAAATACAATTTTTGTAGATCAAAATTGCAGCTTCAGATTTTAGCAATAGTACAACCTCCTTGTCAGAAGTCCCAAATGGTAAAATCCATCACCAGATTGATTGCTGACCCTTGGTTGCTATCCCATGTTTATTCTAAGCAAAATTATTGTTAATTCTCCACTATAATATGGTGTATGATGATAATAACCTTCATGATATTCAATAATGTGATGTTTTCATCCATGCTTCAGAAGAGATATGATTGAAAATAAATACTGAAGTAAATTAAATTTCACACAATCATGTGCTGTGCTTATTAATTTTTTATAAATTGCTTCTGCTGCAATACTTTAATCTGTGAAAATTTCTTGACAAAAATATCTCAGCACAGGTAAATAAAATTGAAAATTTAGTATTCTTAATGGTAAGTGTGTCCATCAATTGTTTATTCAGAACTGGGGTATTTCCATTTAGCAAATTTTGAGAGAGTGGAGGACTACCTTCAAAATTTATGCTTGGCTTTGTGTGTCATAATCAAGCATAATAAATGTTTGGAAATCAAGTGAAATCTACAAGTGTTGCAGGAAGAATTTGCACATGGTAGTTATTTTTGACATGTTACCTACCATATATACGAGGCTCAAATATGTCATGACTAATTTTGCCTTATATAATGATGTAAAACTGGGCAGCCAGATCCAAATTTCTTTCAAGTCCACAGTCTCAATAATCATGGAGGTGGGTGTCTAGAAGAAGAGAAAAATCAAAATTCAGGTTTTGAACAGGAATGCAAGAAAAATGGAACTGTTTCCCTTTTCATTTCCTTGGAATTTTCCTGCATCATCAGATTATTCCATTGTTGGTGCTTGTATACAAAAAATTAAACAATCACAGGTGACACACACTTGGAGAAAATAGTAATATTTTGCTCAAGGTCTGGAAACTTTGGGATAAAGAGGTACTCTACTTCATATGTTGCTTTTTGAGATAATTGATTACTGATGAAATTAGGACCGGAGAAGAAAAAAAAATTTGTGGAGAATTTTTGGCCACAAAAATTATTTTTGTTGGAACAGCTCAAAGGGTTGTAAAAAGGAGAGAACCAATGGTGTTTTACTTAGAAAAGACTAGGCTTCAAGTAGTCTACTTACAAGAGGTTAAACATGTGGGTGAGAGAGAAAATTAATATATTATATAAAAATGAATAACAATTTTAACATATGCATGAAAAGATGACAGGAGCAAATACTCATTGATAAAGACTAGACCCAGGTTCAAAGACTACAGGGATTTCAGCACTAGAAAATAAGAAAAAGTGCCACTCAGACACTTACAAGCAACGATGTAACAGATCCGATCCGATACGGTATCGGCCAATTTATCGGATCGGATCGATTTTTCGTTACCAGGTATCGAAAAAAGGGGTATTGGATCGCCCACCCGATCCGATACCCAGAGGATCGGATCGCAGCGTTAGGGATCGGTATTGCATCGCAATACCGATCCGATACCGATCCGGTATCTGTGGGATCATTTTAAAAGGCATTTTTTTGGTTAAAAGAAAAAATTTGGGCATTTATATATATACATAATTTTTTTTTTTTTTTAACTTTTATGAAAATAAAAATAGGAATGTAAATTTTTGAAGCTAAAAATGGAGAGCCTGAGATTTTGTTTTCATCACTATTTATAATTTTCATACTTAATGTAAAGAAATATACAACTTTTTTTCTTCAAGGGATTTTTTTCAAGTGGATTGAAATGAAATTTGGGAGACTGAGTGGGGGTTGGTAGAGCCTAGAGAGTAGAGGCTGTGAATATAGGTGAAAAAAAAGGATATAGTGAAATTAACCTTTGACACCGGAGGTTGAAGCAACAGGTTTTTTTTGTTGTCTTGGCTGCTTCCAATTCTGCCTGAGTAGCAGAGATTATGTCCTGGGCCGCCTGGAATGGGCCATCGGGCTTTACCCCTTGAGTGATCCATTGGTGGGAACTTACACATCTTTCGA